AATTGACAGATAAGTTATTGCGACTTTTGTCCTTGATCTCTATCGGCTTGACGGAAGTAAATCCTTACCGACGGCAAGAAGGCGGTGCAAAAAACAAGAAAACTGAAGTTAATAAGGATCAGAGCGTCGCCGCACCAGAAGGACACCTCAAGCTGGCCGTACAGGTTTTGACTAGTAAAAGTTGTTCCGAGGATGGACTTGAAGATGCAACTGCACTATTACTTAATCTATCTCATTGTCCTGATCCTACTAGACAATTAGTATGTATTGTATTCTTACATAAATTAATACAAATGATGTTAATATTAATATTAACATTAATATTGATATTACAACATTAATATAACGATACGATGTTAACATCTTTTCTTCTACCTATATTTTTTCCTAGATATTAAAATTACTTTTGGAAGGTGCGATGGAATTGGCAAATATGGTGTGTGAACATATCAACGATTTGATGATGGAATTAAAAGTTCTAAATCGTGAATTAAGTCGAAGAAATTCATTGGAGGATCAACCATCGACTAGTAGCGGGAATGGACGAGGAATTTTATTAGATAGGTAAAATATTCTTGTAGCACGTAATTAAATGTTAAAGCGTGTCAATTTTTATACGCTTTGCATTCTCAAGAAGAAGCTAGACAGTAATAAAAAATGGTCTTTTTAGATTTACTAATGAAAATGTAGTCGTCACAGCACCGAGTAAAGTTAAAGCCGGAAGTGACCTTCAATTACCATCGATGGCTGCTCTCGTCAGTAAAACCTCTAGTCAGGCATTTTTTTTGAGAATACTTAAAGTTATTGTGCAAATAAGGGAAGCTGTGCGCTTAGCAAACACTAAGAAAACAAGTATGAGATATATATATGTGTGTATGTGTGTATGTGTGTGTGTGTGTGTGCGCGCGCGCGCGCGTGTGTATATATACGCCGTCATTATAATTTTATTTTGCGAACAATTTTTTATATTTTATTTATTTATGTTAAATTTACAATATTTACAAATTAAAATTTCTATTTTAAGCTAATCAAACAACAGTGACAGTGATGGATACAGGTACAACAAGCAATGCATCAGAAATAGGTATTTTTATATCTTTTTTTATCTTTTTTATATCTATAATTTTTCCTAAATCAATATTTGTACTAAAAATTAATATATCTTGTTATAGCCGCCGACAATGCAGACATCGATGTTCCTATGGATACAACACAAGCAAATACTTTAAGTCTTGAGAATTCAAAGACATGCTCTTCTCGTAATGGTAAATCGAGCAGATTATTTTATTTTTGCTATAATAAGACGAATATCTTAATTCATAGATTGATCAATATCTCATATGTAAAAAAAATCCAACTTTGCTCAATAAAAACTGCATTTGCTGTCTATAATATATGATTGATTAATTAAAAAACGCTAACTATATCTGTTTTAACTTAAACTTATGTCTGTTTTATTATTATTATTATTATTATTATTTTAGACGAAGAGAAAACTGCACTTCCATTGCTGAGTGAGAGTTTAGTATTGGATAACTTATGGGAAACTCTTAGCGCTTGCTTACTTGAATTAGAATACACTCCTGATCACCATGCCGTCCTTGTTTTACAGGTAAAAAGTTTAAATTTATCACATTTTAAGAGCTATCACCGAATTATTATATCGTCATTGTACTGATCATTACATTATTTGCGGTATAAATAGAAATTATATGTAACGTTGTAGCCTGCAGTAGAAGCATTCTTCTTGGTGCACTCATCTTCAAGTACGTCTCGAGATCGTGACAGTCGTCTTAATACAACTAGTGAGAATCGAGAAGTGGTACCAGACTTAGCACCAGTTTCTCCAATATATTCAGATAATGAAGGTACTTCTCAGTCGGAAGCTCCCACTAATGCTTCTTGGGATATCACACCAGCACCGCAGAAAACATTACCACCGGATCAACTAAAGTTCCTCAAATTTGCCGGTACGTATTAACTAATGATGAAACCATAGTTATTATTTTATTTAATGTAATATGTATCTTATTCGCACAGAAACACACAGAACCGTGCTCAACCAAATTCTACGACAAACGACTACACACTTAGCAGATGGACCATTTTCCGTATTGGTGGATCACACAAGAGTGTTAGACTTCGATGTGAAGAGACGTTACTTCAGAACAGAATTAGAACGGATGGACGAAGGTATACGTAGGGAAGAATTGGCAGTTCATGTTCGTAGAAGTCACGTTTTCGAAGATTCATTCAGGGAGCTTCACCGAAGAAATGCTGATGAATGGAAAAATCGCTTTTATATCGTCTTCGAAGGTCTAACATTTATCTTGATTGAGCAAGCTTGTACAAACTTCATAAATGTCGGCACTAAGTAATATTTTACTTTTCAATTTAAAAGGTGAAGAAGGGCAAGATGCAGGAGGATTGCTGCGAGAGTGGTATGTCATCATTTCGAGAGAAATCTTCAATCCAATGTATGCTCTATTCACCGTTAGCCCTGGCGATCGAGTAACGTACATGATAAATTCATCTTCACACTGTAATCCCAATCATTTGTGTTATTATAAATTTGTCGGTCGAGTAATTGGTAAGTATTCGATTTGATTTTCAACGGAGACAGATCAGATATAAGAAATAATTCTAAAATTATATAATTCTCATATTATTTTTGTAGCTAAGGCTATTTATGACAACAAATTATTAGAATGCTATTTCACGCGTAGTTTCTATAAACATATACTTGGCATACTCGTGAAACATACGGATATGGAAAGTGAGGATTATAGTTTTTATAAAGGACTCGTTTATCTTACGGAACATAATATTTCCGACTTGGGATACGAGTTAACGTTCTCCACAGAGGTAATGAAGAACAATTATTTCAATACATATTTGGCTTTGTATTTCAATTACTAAATGCTTTGTGTTGCTTCTAGGTGAACGAATTTGGTGTCAACGACGTGCGAGATTTAATACCAAATGGACGTAATATAATTGTTACAGAAGAGACCAAACTTGAATATATTAGGCTCGTATGTCAAATGAAGATGACTGGAGCAATTCGTAAACAGTAAGTGGATTTAAAGTTTTGAAATCGAGTAAAAAGAATATTATTGTTTAATTACTTTTTATCCTATTTTTACATCTTAAATCTTCCTTCATAGATTAAATGCGTTCTTGGAAGGCTTTTATGATATTATACCCAAACGATTGATCTCTATATTTAATGAACAAGAACTTGAATTATTGATCAGTGGCTTGCCTAATGTAGATATTGAAGATCTTAAAGCAAATACCGAGTACCATAAATATACTGCTACGTCTTTACAGGTATATTTTGTTACCTTTACAGGTATATCATATTTGAAAGGATTATATTTTATACCATATGTGTATTTTATCATTTTTCCAAAATGCAGATTCAATGGTTCTGGCGTGCATTACGAGGTTTTGATCAAGCAGATCGTGCCAAGTTCTTACAATTCGTTACTGGTACGTCCAAAGTGCCGCTACAAGGTTTCGCCGCGTTAGAAGGCATGAACGGTGTACAAAAGTTCCAAATTCACAGAGAAGATAGATCAACAGACAGGCTTCCATCTGCCCATACTTGGTAATTATACGAAAAGAAAATCTTTTTGTTTACATTTCTTTAAACATACAAGCTAAAATTAAATCGATCGCGAATTTATGAGGCTAAAACTATATTCTCTAATTGTAGTTTCAATCAACTGGATCTACCAGTGTACGAGACATATGATAAATTACGTACAAATCTACTCAAGGCAATTCACGAATGCAGCGAAGGATTTGGATTTGCATAAGCTTACTGAAACGCTGTTATCGTATATTGTAGCAGTTTATCATGTGTTATTCTGCCTGTTCAGAGTAAAATACATTACGAGAATTCACCTCCTTACATAATCACGCGTTTATGCGTTCACGCGTCCAGTCGGTGACGTTCTGGTGACACGCTTGGTCTTCATTCAAGATCTAATTGAAAATTCGATATATACATATAGACGTACGGATATGTATATACGTATAACTAATTCTGATGTAATTACGTGAGAATAACTATCAATGATACCCAAAGCTAGGGTTTATTTTGTTGAAGAGGATCTTGGAAGAAGATGCTGAGCTTAACGATAATTCCCAACAAGGAAAGATAAGGAGAGATTAGTTCAGTTTTATGCGATAAGGATAAGCTAAAGATAAGATTCACACATAATTGTAATAGTTAGATACATTAGTTTGTCATAAGAAATAATATAGGATGAAAAAATGTAATATACTGCACTTTGAAGTCAGCGATGTTTTAACCGGTTCGATAGATTGAATAGAAAGCGGTGGGTAACGGTAGCCTGGTTCTTTACCAGAAAAAAAGCAGCAAAAAGTATAAGTCGATGAATGTTTGTGAGAATGAAAGAGAAATATGTGAGAGAGCGAGAGAGAGAGAGAGAGAGAGAGAGAGAATTTAATCGAGAGATACTGAGCCTAATTAAAAGATTTCAATATGAAAGCTGTCCTTCCCTAAAAACTGTATGGTTGTACGCACTATTAGTATTAATAATTGTAACTAATTCTTAATTATAGTAATCATTAAATATCGTTTTAATATTAATCATTCTCGAAATGTGATGTTAAACAAGTGTAATTTCTTTTTCTTGAGATCTAACGAAATAAAATTTACAGTTGAACAGACGTTACTTCATAACACACATCGAACGGAATAATATTAGCGAAACACACCGCACACAGGCACCGTTATAGTTAGTTACGGAACTCCTTACGAAATTGTTAGGGAATTATTGATTAGAAATCGCAGAATAAAGTGAATGTTGTATTTCTTATAAAAAAAAAAAAACAAAGCAATTGCATTCTTTTATTGCACAGAGTCCTTAATTATTAACTCCGAGTTTCCTGAGTAGACAAATATTGATAATGCTGCGTAATATTACACTTTTTAGTCTCCTTTTGAAGCTAACTTAAACTTTATGTATTATCAAATAAATTATTATTCGATTAATTATATGAGAATTAATGTATGTAACATGAAAATATATATTTCATATTTACAAAATTGTATTAGTGTAATAATAATCCATTAGCAATTAGAGTGCTGATCTACGCGTTCAGAAAGATATTTTGCTATATAACACTGCATATAACAATTTTTTGTAAATTTGTATGTTATTTTCACAAGCAATACGCAATTGTATTGTACATTCGGAATGTTATCACTGACTGCAAAGGCCCATCCATAAGTGGAAGCAACAAGCGTTGACGAAATCTTCGACTAAAGCGTAGATGTCTTCCATGTTTATTGGCATGTTAATCTCTGTGGATTTTCGATAAACTGCGCATAAGTCCTAAAACGAATGTTAATATTTAATTTCGTGTGATTATTTTTTGTCTTATATTTCAAATCTCGCATTTGCAGTACTACTACATACCCCTCTCGATGTGTGCATGTCGATGGTCAGCATCATGAACGCTTGAACGAGAGTCGGATGCAATATGAGATGATGGGTGATATTTCCATCAGAAGTAATAAATTGTTTATGATGCTCTTGATATTTATTCTGTAATACTTTGGACAATGCCTGATACCATGATACTGGTTGATTAATGAACAGACCGAGTCTAGAATCCAGATTCGAAAGGGGCTCGGTGTGGGCTAACGAACAGAGCTCCTTGAACTCTGTGTATGCCATCGATGTCTTGTTCTCTAATAATTTATCCCAAAGCAAGTGTGTTCGGCACTGCAACGCACCGCGCTCTACCATGTTCGTTATGTGCTGACGGGCAGCCTTCGCTTGAGCCATGATCATCTGTTGCATGAGCTGTTCGTGCGACGAATAATACCCTAGGTAATTTACTGATTCCTGACGAATCTGCATCAAGTGCGGTGATGGTGATGACGACGACGACAACGATGACGACAACGATAATGACGATGAGGAGGATGATGATGAGGTTGATGATGATGATGATGAGGAGGAGGAGGAGGAGGAGGAAGAGGATGATGATGATGATGAGGATGACGACCGTGGCGGCGGTGTGTCTGAGACTACACTCGGGATGTTGGAGTTTTGCGTTAAGGGAGAATTTGGGACCGGTGGAGGTGTTGGCGCCGAATTATTGTGAACATTATAGTTTGACATTTTGATATCAATATCTTTAGTAGTCACATCGCTCGAGGAACTCTTCTCCTGCTGAGATGTTCTGAGATCGATGTTCGACATCTCTGTCCTGATGTTGCATCTCGTAAACGGTAATATACGCGAAGCGGAATTAGATTCCATCGGGTTCTCCGTACATGAGCTGGTCGCAGGCTTCCCAACGCTGTAGACGGTCCTAAATTTGCCCAGCTTATTATTCTCCACCTCTCTTTTTGGATATAATTCCCTCTTACTTGTCAACATCAGATAATATTTCAAAGTAATCTCAGTCTTCTCGATTTGCGGTGACTGTTCCATGCGCGACACAATCAGTGCTACGTCGAAGTCGTCTGTACACTTTATATCGTGGGCGTCGCAATAACTAACCGAGGGAGTACTTTGCAGTTTAATTAGGACATATTCGTTGTCATGAGATTCCTGGAGTTCGCCGGACATCACGAACACACGCATGCCGTATACCTTCTCATGTGAGAGCAAATAAGAGTATAATGTACGTGCAGGTATCGCTATATCGCGTATTGTTATCACGTCTGAAACAACAATGTTAAATGTACAGTGTTATAAAATAAAGTTACAAACGAAAGTGACTTGAACCACTGATATGCATTTTCGAAGCTTACCACTGTATATCAGATTTCTGGCGTAATTTGGTGCTTTGCTATAATATTTGATAAAATCATCCATAAAGTGAGTGAGATGGTAACCTTGCTGCAAGGACCACAATCCAGTTCCAGCGATGTAGGAATGAATACAACGTAAATGAAAATCATATGTAAACGAATGCAAATGCATGTTGATTTGAATCTTGTCGCAAACATCCACAAAACTTAATACAAACTGTAATAAATTTGTAATATATTTGTAAATTAATTATCTTATGCATATTCATGGGAAACAATTCAAATTTATCTTACTTGATTCATCATACCGCTACTCGTCTTCGTCTGTAAGCGATTACACTCAATGATACGCAACTTCACGATAAAAAATGGTTGTGACAAGTGAACTTCGAACAGCAAAATGCCGCCCAGCATCGATTTCTTGAGATAATAAGACTGCTGCTGAGCGTACGCCTCGTTTCTGTAAAAGAAACGTAATGCACTTATAGAAAAATATGCGCGTGTTTGTTAAATCAAAATCAAGTAATCGAATTCGGACAAACGTTTTATGTAGTGATTCCACTTGGATTGGATTAAAGCCCAGAATCTGCAGATATTGTCTATATTCGGATAGCATTGATTTGCAGAGCTCTTGATGCCACTTTATCATAATTGCATTTGTTGCTTCCTGTTTCGATTGCGTCGCTTGCGACGATTGTTCAATACCGTTCAAGCCAAAGTGAGATGACTGCGGTGGCGTCAATGAATGATCCCTTGTGGCGGCGGACTGTAAACGCCAGGCAGGCAAAAAGAGAAGCGGCGTATGGCAGAAATGTATTAAACGAGAGTATTGCTTGAACGTATTCAAAGCGTTCAATGATATCGGTATATTAGACGTACGGCTCTGCCACATTGCATATAGTTTCTCCAAATCCTCTACAAATATACATATCAGATTATATGTTATCGTAATCATTTGGATACATGCAAATTTGATTACCTTTGATTCTCTTTTCTCGATGTCGAAGATCCTGTAAGTCGTAAGCAGCCTTTACAATTGTATCAGTCATGTTATGAGGATGTGGAACGCTTGGTTTTGCGTCGCGCATCGCCTGTCCGACTACTTGAATCCACGAAAACGCGTTATTCTTCATCGACTGCGCTCGATTACTTGATCGCGCCCAGTCTTTATCGATATTTGATTGACTTGGAAATTTTGCTAAACTTTCCATATCGTTGATCTGATAATATTGAGAACTGTGCTCGACTCTCTGCTGAGATTCTCGGGTGAACTTGTGATGAAATATACCCAATTTTTGCATGATTATGCTGGTAAATAGACTCGATCTAGAAGAGAGCCATGTTCCTAAACTTGTCGTTTGTTTGATCAATTTTTCTGATTTTTCCTTGGACCAGTTGTACATATAAAGGATTATCTGAAAATATAATATAAAGTGAACATTTAATCTTACTTACAAATGTTCTATAATTGTGTTACATAATAAACACTAACATTGTCACTTAATATTTCAGCTAACAGTATCCTCTGCCTAGGCACAAAATTTGATTCCGATATAAGAGGATTAAATTTTTGCAATTGTTTTTGATCTGTAATATAAAATGTAAAAGAATGAATAATGAGGTGTATAAGACTTGAGTTAAAGTTAAATTAACCGACCTTTAGGAGCAAGCAGTTCCAGATCTATTTCTTTACCCAAAGATGCCTTCCACTGATGAAAATTCCTCGCGACTAAAATACATTTGATGTAAGTAATTTGTTCTTCTTTGTTAAACTCATGCGGCACGTACACGGGTGAATTTGCGCTTTCTTGATCCATATTTTCCGCTAACGACTGATCGGAACTGTTTCGAATGCTGTCAGACCATTTGGGTGCAGATCCAGTTTTATGCGAAACGATAAATTGATTTAGGAATGGTTGTCGATCTTGCAAAATAAAAACTTTGCTAGATGTGTCTGGATCCTGACTACGTATGAGATTCTGCAGCTCTCTCACAATTACGGGAATCGCATGCCTGTGGTGAATGATCACCTCGTGTTTCTTGACGGCAGGAACTCCCATTTCTAATGCAAATTGAAACCAGCGTGCTAGCGTAGTGTGATAAGTCCCATCCAATTTTCCTTTTTCACCGAGTTCGTACTGATTGATCGTTAAATTCTCGGAAACTTTTTGTGTTGACGTTTTTACGAGTGTCTGAATTTCTTTATTTTCCGTTTCACCGACCGTTGTTGAAGAATCAATAATTGGTTCCGTCAACGGAGTCGCTAGAAGATTATATTCTGTGACTAAATCCCAAATACCATGCTTCACAGCGGACGATAATTTTAAAATTAATGATTCCAAGTTAACTCTGCCTTGCTTCCAGATTCGAAATTCGATTAATGTTTGTGCATTCGGTTTAGAATCACTTTTATAATCGTAAATGTTCGTCGATACAATACTCTCGAAATTCTCAACTCTCAACAACTTAGGAAAACTCGATTCGTTATTTAAATCATTTGAGTACGTTGCGGATTCTCCTTTGTCATCGGTAATGGCTAATGCAATGCAAGCTATACCTTTATTACCACTCGAATGGCTTTGATTGTATAAGAAGATATCGGATTCGGATACTTTCTTTCTGGTACCGTCTAACGGAGTGTAATCCTGAAAATGATAATGCGCACCAAGATCCGTATATTTTGGCGTATACAAGAATTGCAGTATATTCTGCCTCAAATAATATCCCAAAGCATTCATATATCGTAAGCAGTGTGGCTGTACTGACAATTGTACTATACATTCGGGAGACTTGTATGGTTTTTGTATGAAATGCACGTCTGCCGGTGTCAGCTTACACATTGGATTACGTGCCAACATCACGGACAGCACTTCTAGTACTGCATCATCAAGACGATTTTGCAATACTTGCACTAAATCCCGTTTGACTTCTGGACCGGCTTCTGATATCCCATGTACCATCAGAATAATTGAATCTCCAGTTTTGTTCAAGATATCGGACTCTTTTTCGCCAAATGAACGAACTCTAGGCCTCGTGTCATTCGTTACGACATGATCGTTCACCATGCCAATACCTTTAGCTTGCGATAAGGATGCGACGCTGTTGCTACGCGAGACAACTAATTTCTCATCACTTTCCGACAATTTATTCTGTAAAGGTTTAACATCGTTCATCTGCTCGTGAAGTCGCAGATAAAATACATTCTCGTTATTTTCCTGATATACGAACATATTATTTCGATTGTTAACGGAGAGCCTATTAAGCACGCCATGCAACGCTTTGATCCCTCTCGATAATCCGGATCTTCCAGGTCCGGTCTTTAAGCGAGGATGAAGATTGAAGGGTTCTTCCCAAATGACAGGGCATCTAAACATGCCTGGCGTAACATTCAAAGTTGAAGAATTGTGATTCTGCAAAAGATTTCCAGACTCACCACCGGTTTCTTTCCACGCATTATGATCCTCGGTGGATTCGGGTTCTAATAGTAGGTCGCATATGCGAGTATCATGAAGATTTTGTAAAAGTAAATATTGATTTACTCGCCGGCATATGGCTTTGATTTGAGCGAGTAGCGTTTTTTGTATTTGCGAATAACAATCCACTTCTGGTGAAGAAAGTTCCAAAAATCTGTATAATAAAATCGTAATGATACAAATGTCATCCTTGTCATCCTTTATATTATATATGTAATTCTTGCTGTAAACAACGAATTTTTTATTTTGATTTACCAACCTGCAGTGAAAATAAACATTAACGTGACTGCTTTCGACATTCATAATTAGCCAGAAATTGGGTAAACACTCTCTACATTTATCAAGTTGTATCAACCATTGATAATCATCCTCAGAATTACTGCTGTCACCTTCATATCCATCATCTGTCCCATGTTTCTCTTCAGCTATGCTTGATATTTCAGAGTAATAACCTGGTACATCTCCAGAGTCTTGTCCGTTTATTTGAATTGATTGAATAGTAGATATTTCTTCTTTCTCCGCATTTCCAATACTTTCGTCTGTAAATAAATTTAATAAATAAAAATCTATAATAACTTATGATAAATGTAAATTATTAAAAACATTTTTCAAAATATTTAATATAACTATTAAAAAGATAATAGGTATTGTTAATATATCTTCTTAAAAGAAATGTAAATACTTTGTATCGTAGTTATCCAATAAGTTATATCTAGTTAAAAATTATTAGTTACAAGATTATTTACCATCTTTTAATGACTGTTCTTCTACATCTACAAGTAATATATCGGCTTCTATATCATGTACTATTATTTCTGGTTTCTTAACGAAGTAAAATAAGTCGGCCTCTTGACAGATACAGTACTTGTCAATCTCAAGATTTTTCAATTCCTTTAAAAATTTAGGTACGCTGCTTTCTGAAGGGAAAACAAAATGCAAAGGTACTTTATCCATTGAGCAACTGAATCTTCCAGTAGATTCCGACACGTGCTGTGCTATAAACTTCAATGTATCTGCATTCGGCGAAGAATGGTCTAAAAGTGCGGTCGCAGTCTCGTCTCGCAACAACCATTCGATCTCATCTTTCAAGTTGGTTACTGCATGATGCTGAGATAGCTGCGGCATTCTTTCCTGTATTGATTCAGTTTTCGCATTTGTACCTGGACTGCTATCACTTGGCATGCTACCAAACGTCGAAGCGCTGCAGTAAGATGTGGTTCTTAATGCAGGGTAACGTTCTAATGACACTTCCAACACTTCTTTTGGAAGACTTAAACAAATGATATCTAAAGTAATCTTTAGGTCGTCTAGATTTAATTCAGCTAGATTTCTTTCTTTATCGTTATTAATCCTTTGAACGATTTCGGTAAAGCAAGTAGGCATCAATTTAACAGGTATACTGGAAAGTTCGGAGCGGAAACGAATCGAGCAACTCAAGTGTAAGAAGAGCGGCTGATTTTTCATGTTCCACATATTTTCTTCATCAAAATCACTGATAAGCGAATCCTTGGAGTTAGAATGATGAGACAGCTTCTCATTGTTATGAAGATTCGTAACCGGCCATGTAATATTGACAGTTTGACTTACTAGCAAAGTAATAATATAATA